GTCCTCAAGCAAATGCCTGGCGGAACATCTCTGTCTTACATGCCCTGCGAAACGGCATTAAGTCCCATAGGGCACAGATGTGATTTAGCAGAGAGTTCCACCAGGTTGAGGCCAGGGCAGAAAATGCCCAACTAATCTCCAGACAACAGTTCCCATTAAGAAGATGGCATCTGCATTCTGGAGCATCACTTCACCACTGGACTGCTTCCCCTCCCCAGACTCACCTGGAGGTTAGCACTTCTAGCTAGTAGAGTTCATACTCTATAATATTATTGATTTACTTCATTTATAACCCACCTGCCTCCCAAAATGGGGACTCAAAGCATCTTACATCATTCATCTTTCCTCCATGTTATCCTCACAACAGCCATGTGATGTAGGTTAGGCTGAGAGTGTATAACAGCTCAAGGTCACCCAGAAAGCTTCCATGGCAGAGTGTGGATTTGGACCAGGGTGGCCCAAATCCCAGTCCAACCCATCAACCCCAAGATGATCTCGTTTTATAACCTTTACTGTCTGTTTCCATTCCAGTCCCCCGTCCCTGTGTCTTGCCATTCACTTACAGCCACAAGGCCTACTCCTCTTGCACTGCTGATGGAATTCAGAACAAGAGGCTGTGGTGTGCCACAACTGGGAACTATGACAGAAATCGCGAGTGGAAGTATTGTGCCCTTACAGGTGAGTTTATGTTGTACATTACTGGTGTACTATGTCACATGAGCTTAGGATGAGTAACAACGTTCTGGAAACAAATAGATCCCTGCTGCTGGATGTAGAAGTCTGTGTAAGACCAAACTGTTGAAAAAACACTGCCACAGGAGCACATCCAAAGTGGCCTTGACTAAGGGAAAAGCGGTTTATAGTTCAATCCTGTGCAGGTCTATTTTGAGACGCAATGGGACCTGTTGCCTGCTATATGTCTTTAGGATTGCTACCATTTGGCAGGATGGAGAAGTTTAAGACACTCCCCCTTTCTGCCTGCTGATTTCCCCCTTCATATACCCTCTCATGCCATAATAAGGCAAATGTGGGCTAGGAAACCTTTTTGTCTTGTATGACATAGCCCTGCTTTGAATGTGCTTGAAACATAACCTCAACCTCCCAGAGGACTGGGTATGTCCCTGTACAAATAATCTCTGTCTCTGTCTTTCTTTAGAATACGGAGGTAATTCTGGTGGACAGCCCTGCGTCTTCCCTTTTGCTTATAAGGATCAGACATTCTACTCATGCACCAACAAAGATGCACAGATCGGAAGGTTCTGGTGTGCCACAACAGGGAGCTATGATAAGGATAAGAAATGGAGCTACTGTGCTGATAAAAGTAGGGAAATTGTGTTGACTCATTAGATGGATGTGTGTGTTCGTCAGGCAATGTAGATGTAGGAAGATCAGTGGTTGGTCTGGTTCCTGAGCTGGTGCAAAGAGAAATGCGAAGGAAGGACTGTGCAGAGACATAGAGGTGGCATGGCTCAGCAGCAGAGATGACATTCCTACTGCCTGGGACATCTGAAGGACCTCAAGTAGGACGTCTTGGAAAAACCACTTAGAAAGCCACAGCTAGTTCAGAGTGGATAATACTAAGCCAGATGGACCAATGGTACAAGTCAGTGTACGAGAGGTTCATTTGTTTGTGCCATGAAGACACAATGGTTTAGTGATGGCTAATATATGCCAACATAACAGTGCCCCTGTGTTCAGTATGGGTTGCTGCAAGCTATCAGGCTACCAGTGTTTTGGGCAAACCCAGTCCATACCATTATTGCTGGCTTCCTTTCTTCTAGCCTGCAAGTAAAGCAATGCAGAGAGGTGTTAAGCCCCCACATGTCACTCAAGCAACAGAGCTTGGTTGATGTTACTCAGCATGAAAGGCATCCCTTCCTCAACTTCCCACAGCCACTCAAGTCAACTACTTGGAAATGGCCTTTCATCCTTGGATGTCTCAGGGTGTATGCCAGTTAGCTCTTCCTGTACATCAGCAACCCACACGATTGCTGTCATAACTGCCAACCTGTGGTGGCATCTCTCTTCCCACGGAGACTCATCTGCTTCCCTCTATTGTTCTGCCAGAGGATGAAGACTTTTTTGTTTCCTTTGGTATACCATCAATAACACTTATTGGCCCT